TTATAAATCAAAAGTTTACTGATAATTTTATTATTTTGCATGGGTATTTAGGTCATTCCAGTTCAATTATGATGCAAAAAAATCCTGAAAATTCATGTGGTCATTCATTAAAGAACCACCAGATTCTTCAAAGTAATGTTTTTTCATGTAATGCTTACTCTCAAGTCAAATTAATTATTCGACCATCATCAACTAAGATAAATTATGAATCTATTAATTTTTTAGAACGAATACAAGGTGATATTTGTGGGCCTATACACCCTTCTTGTGGACCATTTAGGTATTTTATGGTTTTAATTGATGCATCGAGTACATGGTCACATGTATCCTTACTATCAACTCACAACCTGGTATTTGTGAGGTTACTTGCTCAGTTAATTAAATTACAAGAACAATTTTCTTATTTTTCTATAAAGACAATTCGTCTTGATAATGTTGGTAAATTTACTTCTCAAGCATTTAATGATTATTGTATGTCAATTGGAATAAGTGTTGAACATCTTGTAGCTCATGTTCATACACGGAATGGTCTTACAAAGTCATTTATTAAACGCCTTCAATTAATTGCAAGACCATTACTAATGAAATCAAAACTTCTAATTTCTACTTGGGGTCATACTATTTTAAACGCAACATCAGTAATTCACATTAGGCCAATAAGTTATCATAAATTCTCCTCATTACAAATGGTTTTTAGTTAGGAACCAAATATTTCTCATATTAGAATTTTTGGGTGTGATGTATATGTTCCTATTGCTCTACCACAATGCACAAATATGGGTCATCATAGGAGATTAGGAATATATGTTGGTTTTGAATCCCCTTTAATAATTAAATATCTTGAGCATTTTACGGGGAATTTATTTACAGCTCGGTTTGCTGATTGTCATTTTAATGAGTCAATTTTCCCAACATTAGGGGGTGAAAATAAACAGCATGAAAAAGAACTAAACTGCAATGAATTATCATTATCTCATTTTGATCCAGTACTTACAATGCAAACTCGAAGTTCAAAGGATAATTCATTTGTAAAACTTAGCAAAATCAATTGTCAGATGCTTTTACTAACCCTAAAGAGTGACTAAATCACATATTCCAACAGTGAACGCTCCAATTAAAATTTATGTCTCGAAGGTACAAACTCTAGTTGCTACTGAGTCGCTGGCACGCCTGAAGCGTAGTAGACCAGTAGGTTCTAGAGATAAGAATCCTCGAAAAAGAAAATGAGTTATATCTAATGATGGTTTGATTGAAGAATTTGAAAATTTTCTAGAAGATACTAAAATATTTCCAGAAGAGAAATTTGATATAACTCAGGTACATAATAATGAAGAGGTCTTAATAAATTATGTCATGTCTGGTAATAAGTGGAACCAAAATCAAATCGACGTCGATGATATACTTGTATTTAGTATAGCACTAGAGATTTTGAATGATAATTTGGATCATGAACCTGTAAAAATTGAATAATGTAAACAAAGAAATGATTAGCCAAAATGGACAGAGCTGATTGTGGTGAAACTAAAATCTCTTACAAAGAGAGAAGTATTCGGACATGTAGTCTGTACACCAAATGGTGTAAAATCGGTGGAATATAAATGGGTTCTTGTGAGAAAGAGAAATGAAAAAAAGGGGAACTTGTGAGATATAAAGCACATGGATTTTCACAAAGAATCGGAATTGATTATGAAGAAACATACTCCTTGGTTATGGATGCAACTACTTTTAGATTTTTTATTAGCCTGGCAGTAAAAGAAAGACTTACTTTATGCCTAATGAATGTTGTTACATTCTATTTATATCATCCTCTTGATAATAACATTTACATGAAACTTCCAGAAGGATTTAATTTGCCAGAAGCAACTAATTCTGATTCTCGAGAACATTATTCAATCAAATTAAATAAATCTCTTTATGGATTAAAACAATCTGGGCGCATGTGATAAAATCGTCCTAGTAAGTACTTATTAGTTGAATGCTATAAAAACGATTTGATTTTCCTATGTATTTTTATTAAGAGATTAAACTTTGGATTTGTCATTATTGTTGTGTACGTTGACGATTTAAACATCATTGGGACTCTTGAGGAGATATCAATAACTCTTGAGGAGATTTGATTTTGCTAAAAAAATTCTAAATACATAACGCACATCCATTGAGCACCCCAATGATTGTTAGGTCGTTGGATGTAAATAAAGATATTTTTTGTCCTCTAGTTAAAGATGAATATCTTCTTGTTCCAGAACTATCATATAAGTGTTATTTGGTGCATTGATGAGTCTTTCTAGTCGTACGCGACCTGATATATCATTTGTTGTCAATTTATTAGCAAGATTTAACTCATGTCTAACCCGAAGATATTGGAATGACGTGAAACATATATTTCAGTATCTTCATGGTGTGAAAGATATGGGATTATTTTTCCCTATTTTATCCAAAATAAAATTGGTTGGTTTTGCAGATGTAGGGTAGTTATCTGATCCCCATAATGCGTGATCAGAAATTGGTTATGTATTTACATATGGTGGTACTAAAATTTCTTGGCGCTCTATGAAAAAAACAATTATTGTCACTTCCTCTAATCATGTTGATATTTTGGCTATCCATGAGCCTAGTCGTGAATGTATGTGGCTAAGGTCTGTAATTAATCATATTATATGAAGAATGTGGTTTATGCTTTGAAAGAATAACTCTGACAGCTTATATGAAGATAATACAACCTGCATTACCCAACTCAAAGAAGAATACATAAAGGGTGATAGAACAAATCACATCTCACCAAAGTTATTTTTTACGCATGATCTACAAAAGAATGGAGACATTAATGTCCAACAGATTCTTTCAAGTGAAAATTTGGCAGATCTATTTACTAAGGCCCTTCCTAATAGTACATTTGAAAAGTTAATTTTCAACATTTGATTACGTCGTTTAAGAGATCTTTCACGATGCGTTCATGAGGGGAACAAATATGTGTTGTACTCTTTTCCCCTTATCCATGGTTTTGTCCTATTGGGTTTTCCTATAAAGGCTTTTAATGAGGCAGCATGCCATGCGTATTAAAGGATAACATACTCTTTTTTCTTCATTGGGTTTTGTCCCTTAGGGTTTTCCACATATTTTAGTGATAAACATCTAAGGGGGAGTGTTATAAATAAATTCATTAAAGTGAATGTTTACATTCATTTAAGTGTTTCTTAACTTACATTATTAATGTATAATAACATTAACCTTTAATTAGGTTCTTGTAACAAATACTTTTGGTACCTATAAAAGGGTATTCAAGCTTATGAGATATATACAACAAAATATTATTATATATTCTTAAATTGTGTTCTCTATTTATATAGTTTCATAACAATACAAGGTTTAATCTGATTAATCTAAAAATTATAGGGACTTCAAAATGACTAAACCATAAAAGTAGAGATCATGATTTAATGTAATTAGTCTCAAAGTAATAGGGACCTAAAAGTAATTAAAACCAATAAAAGTAGACACTAAAGTTTAGTTTTACTAAACGGTAGAAATAAGAACACAGTCAAGAGCGAAACTGAGAATTTATTATAGCAGGGGCTAAATATTTTTTTTTATTTTCATAAATATAATTTTTTTAATTGAAGTGGGTCTGATAAATTTTTATTTATTTATTTTTAAAAAATATTTTTTTGTATATTAATTAATAATTAAAAATATAATTGACGGGGGCGAAGGTCCCCTCTCTTCCGGTTCCGCCCTTGAACACAGTACACCAAATGTTATTAAACAATACTCAAATGACAATTTCAATCATTAAACTTCCAAAAGTAATAAAATGATTATTATATTTATTAATTTGTAATAAAATAGTCTTTGTAAATTATAATAATTATAAAAGTTTGATAAATTTAATAAATATTTTGTAATAATTTAATAAATTGGTGATCATTATATAATAGGACAAACTACACAATTAGCCACTGACTTATTATTTTTTATTGGATAAACTATATATTTAGTACATAAAGTATCACTTTTATTCTGTTTTAGTACCAGAAATTTTAATTTTTTCAAAATCATACCTAATGTTTACTTTTGTTTGCAAACGTCAAGGTTCGAACTTCTCACTTTGTTTAAAGAATCTAGTGTCTCATCTTACTAAACCAACTAATGTTCAATTATCAAAACTTATATTTAAATTATATTATATCACACTTAAAAATTATGTCAAAATACAAGTGGTGTGGATCAAATCTAAGACTTTTATAAAAAGAATTTAATGTTTAACCAATAAACTAAATTATATATTTTTTATATTTCTAACCAAACTATTATTTAACATAAACTATGGTTAAAATTAAAGACCAAACTATAATTATTTTTCCATCATACTTGAGAATAAAATAAACTAATTAAATAACTATTTTATATTTCTATAAAATTAATATTAAATATTTCTGAAGATTAAATTTATAATATTTATGTAGGATATAATTATTAATTTTGTCAAATAAAACTAACAATTATCTGAATCAATTACTTTAAATATAAAGAAAAAAGTAACCCTAGTGACACTTCAAAAAAAATAATAGGTTAATGGCTAATGATGCTATTTATCCTTTCTAATAATTAGATAAAATTCAAAGAATATTATATTACTATTTCCTAAATTTAGTGACTATTTTACAACTTTTAAAAATTCAATGCTCAAAATAATTATTTGAGCATAGTCTAATGACCTATAATACGTTCCATCTTAAAAAGAGTTGCACCAAAAAAGTCGGCGGGGGACCTCCATCAGTGTGATTCCGTCCACAGTTCCGAGAAATAAACTATGTTGCATTGATACCGGACGTGAAACGGTAATTACTAAAATTATAAGATACGGTACGATAAAAATATTAAATATGAACAGCAATTTTAATCGTACCCCTTCAACATGAGATGTCCTAGGTATGTACTTTAGTTATACCCATCTCAAGAACGTATCGAATACGTGAAACGACATTTAGTTACCATACCTTGCAACATATATAATGTCGAACGGTTTAGAAAGGTAAAAGAAACGGATTCCGGCATTGCTATGATAAACTAATTCTCTCTCCGTTAACTCCGACCACCGGAAAAAGAGTTAAAGAAAGTACCACAATATCAACTTGACGCCGTCTAAGATTTCAAAAAGGCTATAAACGAGTTTTCAAACGGTGTTCAAAACCGAACAAACCCGAGTCTACAAAGGTGCAGGATGAAGGTATCTCCTCTCGTAAAGTCCGGTTACTTGGTCAGCAACAGCCCACATTATGGCTTGGCCTGGTGGTATTCTCATCAACCGAGGAACCAGTCCTTTCCACAAAGCACGAAGCCCTTCCTCGGCATATATAGTCCGGATAGCATGGAACATGCCTTTATACTTCACCCCGTCTCCGCTCTGAGCCATCAACCTCGTTTTCACGACATCGAATGGACCGGTGCATATCGGACCGGCCGTTCCCGCGAGGAAACCCGATACCATGGACTGCCATGGTTGGAGGACTTTGCCGTCGCCTTCGTATTTGTTCCATAACACTACATCGTACGCGTTTTTGGCCGTGAACATTGCGGCTTGGTTCATGCCGTTACGCATCACGGTCGGGGCGGCTCCCGCCCACAGCCCGAAGAGGCCTTCTTCACGGGTGATTGTGAGGGCACAATGGACAGGACCTTTGTACCTTAGAAGCTCTCGGCTTAGTCCTCTCTGTTGCTGAAGTCTAATTTTCACAACCTGCATACCCAACCATCAAAGTACATTAGGATAAAAATATCATCATTATCATAACGTGATATATTATACCGTTGCGACTTAGACAATTGTTATAACATTAGAGTTCAACATTTGATTAAGTAGAATCCAATGAAATAAAAATATCAAAATAGTCGAGTTAACGAGTCATATTTTATAACTCAAATTTTGTTTAAATTTTGAGAAAATAACTTCAGTGACCGAAATTACCTTATAATATACGATTTTAACCATCTTTTTTTTGATTTGCCAAAATGACCAACAAAATCGCAATGCGATCTCTAAATCGCAACGCGATCTCCAGTATCGCAAATCAGTTTCCAGATTCGTAACACGATTTTAACTATCGCAACGCGAATATGTAAATCGCAACGCTATTCTGACTATTGCAACGCGATAATACAAAATCGCAATGCGATTCTGACTATCGCAACGCGATAATACAAAATCGCAACACGATTTTTCAAATTTACGTTAGTCCAAATTCGTTGCGATAGTTTAAGTTCACGTTGCGATAGTCGAAGTTCGCGTTACGATTTTCTAAATTCGTTGCGATTGTCCAAGTTCACGTTGCGATAGTCGAAGTTCGCGTTGCGATTTTCTAAATTCGTTGCGATAGTCTAAAATCACAACGATTGGTGGTATTGTATTTGTTTCTTAAGAATTTTCTCTAAAAAGATAGTATCCGTGCGGACGTGTCGATGACACGTATTACCACGACCACGACCAGACCCGAGATAGGACAGGACGGCAGCGGCGGTGCGCGAGAGTCTCCCTTGTTCTCTTCCACTCAACAAGAAAGTGGGAAATCCAAGCCTTAAATACCTATTCCCAATAGTAGTATTTTCAATACTATGTGGGATTGATCATTACAAACACTTGGGAATCTTTTACACTATTGCAATACATTTTTTATTGTTTTAAACTCCACTTGAATTTGGAATAGTTAAAATGTAAACTTATTTTAGATTTTTCACTATCACAACAACACGTTTTTCAAACTCTCGCAACACAGTTTAACTATCGCAACACATTTTTCAAAATCGCATTGCGAATTTTACAATCGCGTTGCGAATTTAGAAACTGAGTTGAAAAATTAGAGTTCGCGTTGCGATTTTATTGGTCATTTTGACAAATCCAAAAAAATTGATTAAAATCATATATTATAAGGTATTTTCGATCACTGACATTATTTTCTCTTAAATTTTTTCGAGTAAAATTTTCAGATCGATTTGAATTGATCGAATTTTTGTTTAAATTTAATTTTAAATAATTCATCCTATATTAAACAACTTTCTACAATCATTTCCGATATATCCCCAAATACGACACCCAAATACGACACGTATGCGTTACGGTCGTAATTTAATACTATAACGTAGATCTATCTCGAGAAACCTATATCAAAAACTAGTTCAAAAAGATAGGTTAAAGTTGTTAAGCAAGGCTAACCTCAAACGGAGTAACGATGACGAGAGCTTCGAGGACCCCAGCACCGAATCCAGCCATAACCCTACCCCTATTGCTCAGCGTCCCCGTGTCGGTGTCCTTAAACGCCCCCTGCAACACCGCGTTCGACCCCATCCGGAGCGCGTACTTGAGCGTCAAGTGCGTCGCGAACGGCGTCAGCCCTTTCCAAAGCGCCCTCACGCCCTCGTTTCTCCACACGGCGCCGCCGCAGTGGAGTATCCCCCTGTAATTCCCACTCCTATCCAACTGCAACCGCGTCTTGATCACGTCGATGGGCTGCAAACAACACGCCTCCACGATGCCGCCGAGCGAACCGGAGACGGCTTTCATGTACGGCGGGATCGTCTTCTTCGACTCTTCCATGGCGGACGGGGGTTTGAAACTTGAGGGGATTTTTGAGCGACGAAACCGATGTAACTGAAAGCAAGCGTTGTGAGAGCTAGAATACAGAAGATGGATCAGAATCAGCCATGGAAACAGATGACGTGTAGCTGATTCTGGGAATTTTGTTTGTATTGTATGTAAGGTAGTAAATTAAGGAACGGTGCTTGTGGGATTCTACTGAAAAAGTGTCAATATAATAAATTAAAAAAAAAGGAAACTGACGAACTATTCCTTTCACAAAAGAATAAGGGTAAATATACATTTTGGTGCCTAAACTTGCCTTATGATTTAAATTAGGCATAATATCAAATATTATATTTTTAAATCACTTTGGCCCTTTTTCTTTTTATTCTAGAATATTTTGACCATAATATTTCATTTAAGGATAAAAATGACTCTGTTTGGAGCATTAATATTTTTTCACTTAAAATTTTTCATCTGTATAAAGTCTTTTTACCCCATAAATAAAACATTGTGGCTAAAATGTTATAGAGAAAAGAATAGAGTTTAAAATGATTATTTGATCAAATGTTAAGAGTTTTTTTAATATTATGCCATTAAATTAATACCTAAATTTGATTTCATGGTTAACATTGGTTCTAATAAACCATGCATTATAAGTACTAATTTAGATAAAGAAAGTAAATTTTGGATACTAATTTGAACTAGTGATTCAAGTTTAGGAACCTAATTGGAGTAGAAAAATGTTTTTGTACTAAATTACATTTTACAATAAAATTTAGGTACCAAAATACTTATTTATCAGAATGAATAAAAAAGTAATTCTATAAGGAGATTGCGTGAGGATCCTAGAGTTTCCTGGGTCTTCTGTCGTTGTCAGGAGATTTTGTGTTGTCCCAATGCAATGGGTCACGAGAACTTTTTATATTTTTATTATTTTATAAAAATTATATATACCAAGTTATTTGATATATCAATATAATTTATTTTTTAAAAATTATATACCAGTTATTTGATATATCAATACCATTTTTTTATAAAAGGTAAATCATAAATTTCATCCCTAAATTTTATTCGATCTCCTATTTTACTTATTATATTAAATTTTTTTAATTTCTTCATTAAACTTTATACACTAGGTTTTTTTTGTCACTTCACCGTTAAATGGTTAACGACGTTAAAACGATGTTGTTTTAAAAAAAATCACCAAAACAATGTCGTTTTGCATCCATTTTAAATTCCATATAACGTCATTAGCAAGGAAATGGCTGAGTGACAAAAAAAATCAAATATATTAAGTTTAGGGAGAAAAATGAAAATTTTAAAATATAATGAGTGAAATAATAGAGAGAGTAAAATTCAATTACCAAATTTATAATTTACCCTTTTATAAATGATTAGATAAATTTTTTATCTTTAATTATTTGATTTAATATCCATTATTAATATTTTGATTATTAATTAATTAATTAATTACTTCTAGAAGGGAATTGGTTCTTTCCTGATTAAGAAATGCCTTTCAATAGCGTAATGTGTTGTATGACTTAGGGCTGAGCAATAAAATCGATAAAATCGAAAAATCGATACGAATCGAGTAAAACGGTTTGGTTCGGTTTGGTTTGGCTTTAAACGGTTCGATTTTCGGTTCGGTTTAAAGGTTTCATTTTTTTGATTCGGTTCGGGTTTTCCATATGTAACCCATTTGTTCTATATTGAACCGAATAGGCAATTTTTGTAAAAAAAATTATTGTTTCAAGTGATTTTTTTATTGAAAAACCGATAAACCGAACCGAACCGAAAAACCCGAACCGTTAAAAAAACCGAACCGAATTGAAAAAACCGGTTTCAGTTTTTTCGGTTTTTTAACTATTCGGTTTCGGTTTAAATATTGAAAACCCGTTTATTTCGGTTCGGTTCAATTTTTGGTAAAAAACCGAACCGAACCGAACCGAATACACCCCTAGTACAACTACTAAAAGAGAAACAAGAGGAAACAATTAAGAAAGAATACATCCCTTTTATATCTAATTAGTAGGTAATTCTACTGTACGACAGTCTGATATAAGTTAAAAAATACATTACCAGAAATATTAATATTTTTGGTATAACGCTGCCTAAAATGTTATTTTTTATATCGAAAATGTTAATTTCGTTGCCTAAAATAAATATTTTTGATATTAACATTTTTGATAGAAAAAAATAAAATTTTAGATAACGCATGACAGTGGCGGATCTAGAAATTTAAGAATGGGGGTTCAAAATTTTAATTTTATTTTCTTAAAAATATTGGGTATGCAAAAATTTTAATTTTTTTCTTTTTTCCTTAACACGTTAAGTTAAATTTAACCACATTTCCAAAATAATGGGATGCACTTGGCCCCTATGGGGGCTTAGTGCATCCACCACTGGCGCCCGATATTAATATTTTCGATAGAAAAAAATTACATTTTAAATAGTGCTCTATCGAAAATATTAAAAAAAATATTAACTTTTCCGATAGCGTATTTTCTAACCTTATATTAGACTGCCTTTTCTTAGACATCTCTCTCTAATTAGTTGGTGTTCCGTACTCATACCTCAAAGATGGATATTTCATTTTAGGGTAAATTACTCGTTTAGCACTTAAATTATTAGTTTCAATCCACTTTAATACTTATACTTTTAATTTTTTCAAAACTACACCTAAAATTTAAGTTTAGTTCCTATACTCTTAATTATAGACGATAATATATCTCAAAATTTTAAGGACGCATATTACCATAATTATACTAAAACATAAATAAATATTAAAGTAATTTAATTTAAAATTATAGATACCACTTTAAACTTTTATAAACTGTGAGAACGATTTTTTTATAAGTAAAATTTCATAAACTACATTAAAGAAATAAAAACTAGAAAAAAATCAGAGTGAGAGGGAACCACAAGAAAGGACGACTTTTTTCAGTAAGCTTCGCTTCTATCATTCAATTTTATCATGTTTTTGTTTTGATTTCTTAACTTTATCATTTTTTAATTTTATCATTTAATTTTTAACTTTTATATTTTTAGTCACCGACCGTTAAGTCTTTAATATCATTTGAACCTTTTCCGGTAAATTCATGCAAAACTCTCTAAAATTTTCCTCTCAAACCCAAATTTTTAAACTCGTTTTCGTTCATTGGTGTTGAAATATTTTTTTCAATTCGAATAATTAGGTCGAGAATGACAAAATAAAATAAAATATCTAGATTTCATGTTGATTGAAATATGAAAATTACAAATAGACCAATAAAAGGTCGAAGCTTTGAGTTAAAATTTTATTGATTTTAATATAATTTCAGGAAAAAAAATCATATTAACAGGAAAAATAAATAGAAAAAGTAGAACATTTTAATATCAATTATACCGTAAACATCATCCCAGATGGTCAGATAAGGGTAGAGAAAGATTCATGACATTAGAAAGATTTCAAAACATTAAACTAATTTTATAAACAAAAATTTCCAAATCACAACTTTTTGGTATTGTCATTATGCAAAAACAATTGGGTGATCATAGAGCGTATTTCAACAGCTGAGTGACAAAATCATAAGATTTTAAAGTTGAGTGAACAAAAGAGAATATGACAAAAGTTAAGTGACTAAATGTATAATTTACGCTGATTTCTTTTGGATAGTGCCATATTTTTTAACACTTGCCTATAAGGATGGGCATAAGATCCGAATCCGACGGGTTTTGATCTAACCTGATCTGATTGAGTCGTGTTTTTTTTAAAAAATAGGTGCGGATGGGTTGGGTCGGATTTTTAAATATGATGTTCAGGTCGGGTCGGATTCGGGTTTAGGCTGAAAAATATCCAATCCGATCATACCCGAAAAAAATATAATTTTACCTTATATATTTAGTAATAATTACAATAATACCCCTCTATATATTATTTTTTCAATTAAATCACAATTTTTATTGAATAAAAATAATATTTTTATTATTTCGGGTCGGGTCAGATAGGATTCAGATTTTATCTCAAAAAATAAGGTCTGGTGGAAGGTATATATTTTTCAGGTCGGATGAAGGATGTAAAATTTTTTAGTCGGGTCTAGTTGGCCGAAACCCGACCCATACTCATCCCTGCTTGCGAAGGTATAATCAGAATTGCTGGCTGAGAAATGCAATGATAAATTTGTTGCCCCTTGAATTTTGCCATTTGTTAAATTCTTTTGCATATATATTTCTATTAACATTATTTTATTTTATTTTATTATTCGTATTTGATTTGTTGATAGACTAACTCAAATTAAATATTATATCATCTTCTTCTTATCTTTTGATGGTTCTAGACAAACAAAAGGTTCAACCAAATTACAAAACAAATGGACCAATCAAAATTCAATTGCAAAGTCAATATGAAGCATTTTTGGAGTATTCACAAGTGAATATTAATATTTTCAAACCATATATAGTATATCTTTTTCATAGTATTAAGTGGTATACCTACATGGTGGGATTCTTCACTTCCATCTACACACAATAACACCCCTCAGTCTTTCCCCTTTCCCCTTTCCTTGCCCCCCCGCCGCCGCACCGCCACCATTACTACCACCGTATTATTACACACATAAATTGACAGAATACAAAAATCTTGTAGATATCAACAACCAACCAGGGCGATCTTTCTGCTTCCTTTTGAACCACAGAATATAGAAAGAAAAGAAGGGAAAACTAAAACCCTAATGCAGAGACATCTCATTCAAGGACTTTATAAGCGATGCTGGTTCACCTGCATTTGGATCGGTAATTGAATAAATTAGTAATTATGGGTAATCTTTTCCTTTCATTTCTATTTTGCTTTTTTTATTTGGGTAAACTACACGTTTAGTACTTAACTATCACTTTTTTTCCGTTTTTGTCACTCACTATCTTTTATTTCAAAATCATACCTAACGTTACATTTTGGTTTCATATTTTCAACAATGATGTGACATTACCTTATGGCGACACACGTCAGCATCACCTCACCGTTAATTTTTTTTAATGGTGGGTAGTCAAAATGAAACCAAAAGTATAATTTTGAAACAAAAAATAATTGGGTGGCTAAAACGGAATAGAAGTGATAGTTGGTATACTAAATGTGTAGTTTACCTTTTTTTTTGGAAGGGGAATAGGATACTTGCAGAAGAAGTTAAAGAAAAGAATAAGAAAAAGGAAAGCAATATTAAATAATGCAGATATGCTATGAAGATGGACTGATTCTGTTGACCTTTCATTTAAAATCATATGGTAAAGCACAAATGTATTGTATGATGTTGACATTGAACCACATTTTGCCAGGCTGTGTAGGTAGCTGGATTGAGCTGTAAGACTTGTAAACTAATGTAATCCAATCCAGGTACTGGGGTTGAATTCATGCATGTTATATGTCATACGGGGACTCCGTAAACCGGTCGAGCTAATCACGGATTAGATTTTGACATGGTTGCAGTTAATAACACGCAGAAACGAGGAACGTACCTTTTTCGTCGTATGAAGTTTCGTATATCGCGTGGGAAGCGGCGGTTATTGCGTTCATAGTCGGCAGGTGGTGAAACGAGAATCCTGTCCGATCGTCTCGAGCATCCGGCATGCAACTTCAAGCAACTTCCCTGCCAAGAACATTTAGGCTTATTCAATATTAGGCCGTCCCAACCATGTTTCTTATTGCAGATGAGGAAGATCAATTGAAAGCTACATATCAACCTCATGAAAACAACTACTCATCTAATACGCGTATTCGATACATTGTGCATACCTACATCGAGCATATACATGTATTATAAAGTAACTAATATCGTAACGAATCTCAACCATTGGATTAACAAAATGGCAGGTAATGGTGAATAAAAAAGAGGTTGGAATTATAATTTTATAGGAAGAAAACAAACATGTTAGTAAAGAAATGGAGGTGGAAGCTATTTTCTACAAGGAAAACAATGGGCTGTCAAGATTCCAGTGAAGTCAAAGAAAATTATATTGTTGTTATGCTGCAACTTTCATGTTCGACAAGCCAACTCATTCCAAAGAAACAGCTGCAAAGGAAATATATATATATTCCCTTACCGACACTTCAATTTCAAATAAACTTTATAGCATGTTTTAATTTGGCATCACTTGACTCATCAAAACTCTTAAAGAAAGCTACAGATTCCCATCCTTGCTTGAAATTTTGATACCCTAAACCTTCAAACCAGAGATTGTTGTATGTTTAAACACTCGAATTCAAGCCTCTCGAATGTCGTAACAATAACGATGTCGATCGAACAAAAAACCAATCGTCGAATGCCTCCAACCATGTCCCTCACATTCATATGTCAAGCAGCATTCATATACTAATATGATCCTTTAACTATATGAAAAATTTTATAAAAATGAAATATATCGATACCGACAACATATTCGTACCCGACACGATAATTACTCGTAAATCCGAGAGAAGGGTGGTGAGAAGTCATGTCATTAAAATATATAGACTTGAGATTGCAAAAAATAACAAAAATATGTAACCAAAAATTTCCCTCCCAACAACCAGGTTGATGTAGGGCTAGATAACAACTTCAAGTTAGTCATATGAAATTGCAATAAAAATAAGAGAAGAATAAGAGGCTAACTTATTCATTAATTAATTTAGAATAATTATTTCAACAGATTTAATCAATCAATTTCTGAAAGAATATATTGAGACATGAATAAATTTAGTTTTTATTTTATAATTTTTAAATTTATGTCAGTTAGCTCATTACATCGTTTCAGTTCGAGCTATTGTAAAAATGGTTAAATATTTTTGTTCTTGAATTAAATATATTTAATATGCTAATTATGATTAATATTTTTTTTTATATTTTGAACAAATATTAATGGAGACAACAAAAAGCAAAGAAAGAAATGGACAATTCTACCCTCTAAAACGATTCTAACGCACCGACAATTTTCTAATTACCCACCAAATATTCCCCGGCAACCAGCGCCGCTCACTATTCTCAAACCCCCCATGTCAATGGATCAACGATATACTTATTTAATGTAAAATATTGGTAATAAAGATAAGGTAATTTAGTAATTTACCTCTTCTGGGTTTAACAGTGGCAACTTTGATGGTTTTCTTTTCCTCCTTAGCTTTCTCCTCCGGCGGGAAAAGAACGCTGTCGATACCCTGAACGGAGATCCTCCCGTCGGTGTAAATGTCGGGATCGAACAAATACGCAGATCCATCGGTATGGCCGAATCTGACAGACCCATCGGCTTCCTGGGCCAAAACCTTATGTGGCAACCTCAATGTATCGTAAGACACTTTCCCGAATCTCCTCACCGCATTGTACATGCTTTCCTCGGTCTGGTACTCGGGGATTATATGGTAATATATGATTTGCTCCGGCGCTCCCGGTTCGCTCAGCTGGTCCGTCGTTAGCTTCGCCATTGCCTCGTCGTTGGGCGCTAAAACGGTTAAAACGTAGCCCTCGGAGACCAGCCGGCCCATTTCGGTGGCGAGCGACGTTAGGTTCACTAAAATGTCCGCCATTTCGTTGTACCCGCCGTACTGTAACAGGGTCTGTATGAAATCTTTGACTTGCCTCATCCCATTGAAATGGTGGTGGGGTCCGCCGGGTCCCGGTGCCGGTGCCGGAGCTAGCGACGGGCCAGGGGCCATGGCGTCGTAGATTGGGAGGACGGGCGGCGAGCCGGGGTTGACGGGAGGGGCTGGTTTTTTCAAGCGGTGGGTTCTGGGATCGACTTCCGGAGCTCCTTCCGGTTTGACGGCGGAGATTGAACGGAGGCTTCTACGGTTGTTGAAATCTTGCTGTACTGATCGGGGGATTAAGAGCTGTTCGATCCCGTGGATGACACCGTCGGGACGGTTGATAGCATTGGGGGTAATGAGTTTAGCCGTACCTATGAATTTGACGCCGGACGAATCGTCGCCGCTGAGTTCGACTCGGTGGTTCGATAAAGTCCGGTGGTGAGTTAACGCCGAATTCGATTTCGGATCGATCTTAACGGGCACAATGTGATAGAGCAAAAGAGTTTGAAGAGACTTGAGATTACCAGGCTCGAGCAAGAACCGCTTGAACTCAGGGTCGAGATCCCGCTCCAGAGCTTCATTTTTGGGAGCGAAAATGGTGATATTGTGCTTGCCCACAACTTCTTCAAGGGTCTGCAATAACAAAGCCTTCTCCACCAACTCGGCAAGCTCAGTGTAATGCGAGTCCAACAGAGCCACCAAGACCGAGTTGGAATTTATCTGGCCCGTGTGATTCGTCGCCGGTGAGGTCTCTTGCAATGCAAATGAGAGCGTTGAACATGAGATTTGAAGAAGAAGAAGAAGGAAGGTGAAGAACTTGGCAGCCATTACTGATGACCAGAAAGAACTGTTTCTTCTTTCTCTCTCTCAGAGGATTATGAGTTACCGATTTAAAGAGTAGTTGTAATAAAATGTTTTACGTTTCATTATTATTATTTTATTTATTTTTTCTTTCGTCATAATGTAAATTACGACTCTTAACTAATCTTGCAATTATATCTAATTATATTTGTAATTTATGTTCATATCCATAATGTCAAAGATTAAAATAAAATTATTTTTTTATAGTAACTCAGTAACAATCATATTTATTGAAATAATATTTTATTATTTTCTAAAAAAATATTTTTATAAAAACATAAAGTAATTTTTCTACGTATATAGGAATTTAACGAATTAATATATCTTAATTATTTTTATTAGTAATCAATTGATTTATTGAGATAAAATATTACATCTTTAAGGTCTCTAATTTAAATTTTATTTAGATAAATTAATTAATAGATCGAATATAGATGATTAAATTAAATATATATATATATATATATTAATAAAGGGTTTAATTGCATCATACATCCTCAAACTATGATTTTTGTTCTAAAGTGGTCCCTAAACTTCTAAATATTCCAATTCCATCCTTAAGCAATGACTACCATTCTGAATTAGTCCTCAAACTTTTGAACATTATAGTTTCATCCCCAAACTATATCCTTCATTCTAAATTAGTCCCCAAGCATTTTCAACATTTCCATTTCATCCCAAATTATATGTATATACTAATCACATTACGTGTTGATAAAATCGTTAGGTCAAGTTATATTATTATATGTTTGAAACAAATAAAGTTTATGTTAAATTGTGGTTAAAATTAATTACATACTTTGATGAATATGGGGATGAAATTGAAAGATTTAAAAGTTTAACGAGTAATTTAGAATAAGAATCATAGTTTGTGGATGAAATTGGAATGTTCAAAAATTTTAGGACTAATTTAGAATGAATATCATAGTTTGAGGATGAAATTAGAGTATTAAAAATAATTCCGTTTTAAAATAATGGTCATAGTTTGAGGACACATGATACAATTAACTCTTAATAAAGTTATATATATATATATATATATATATATATATATATATATATATATATATATATATATATATATATATATATAAGTTTAATGAATTAATATACATTAGTTGTATGTTTTTGTTAGATTGTCATCGTTACAACCATTCATTTAATAATAGATTATAATTGTGCAAGTGAAAAATATTTTTTTATTAATAATAAGTTTTTTTAATAGACTATAATAATAAGTTTATTCGATAGGATGTGATATTAATTTTTTTAATGTTATAAATGAAGCAAATTAGATTGAGAATGTCATTATATAATGGATATCTATTGTATCCTATTCGAATTAGTTAATCATTACATTGAATATTGCTAGTTAAACTAAAAAAGTTCTATTTTTATTTTTAATAACATTATCGATATTTGATCTAATAACCGCTTGATGCGAATCAGATCCTAAGAAGGCTCATAGAAACAAACTTTCTAACTTAATTTTTTTATTCACAGTGTTAGAATTTGAATTTTTGCACGAACCAAATTATCTCAATGGTTAAAGGGATGATTGTTATCTCTAGAGATCTCGGGTTCGAACACCCCATTGTAGAGTGTTTGAGCGTTCATCAACAAATAATTGGGAATGGTTTGAAATTTGGGTGAAACCGAGCTTGTGGTTTGGCTTTCTCTATCATGGCTTTTGGTGGGGAATTGTTAATTGCCGGAAATGGTCATTAAGCGAAGAGAGGGGGAAAGTGGAGGGTGGAGGGTTAAAATAGCGTCGGTTGCGGGTAAACCTTGACAGGGAAAACACGTGGAGCTTGTTTTTCTGAAGCTTGCCGCTTCCTTAAGCCTCTTCTTTTATGTATTGCTTAAGACAAGAATGATCTTATCTCGAAATTTCAAGTTCTCCTATAATTATGTGAAAAATATGGTCCCTAATTATAGAGTATTATTTTGTTGAATTTCTTAACTATTAAAAATTATAAAATAGTCCTCTTATTATAGGATATTACTTTATTGAGTCTCCAGACTATTAAAAGTTATAAAATAGTCATCTGACTATTCATATGTTCTAAAGTTATCTTTTTTTGTTTAAAAAATTATGGTTGTCTGAACTGAACGTTAACATGTTGAGTAGAATATGATAAAATTATATTTTAATAATGTCTAATGGCACCGTTATTCCTTTCAAGTACTGGCTCGACAACATAATGTTTTAAGCAGAGACTAAATTCATAAAACTACAACTCAAACAATTCTGAGGTCATATTTTATCACATCTCAACGAGCAAGTTCACGTCCAGCTCAAAGGGTCGTCAATTTTTAATAAAAATGACGAGTTTGGAACATATAAATAATCAGGTAATTATTTTATAACTTTTAATAGTCGAGGGATTCAACAAAACATCACCTTATATTTAGGGGACCTCTTTATAATTTTTAATAGTCGAGGACTCAACAAATCAATGTCCTATAATCGAGGGACAATTTATATACTTTACCCTAATTGTATATCTTTAAAATTCCATAATTATATATTTTTAAATTTTTAATATAATTTCCTAAAAATATGCAAATTTTTAATAAAAAGCTATACATTTATACCGATATATATATATATATATATATATATATATATATATATATATATATATGGGTCACGATCTACTTACACAATATAAAACTCTTTTAGTTTACACATATTTAAGACCGAAAGATGAGATTAACTTCTTATTGACATTTCTTACTTTTAATCTCAGCTATCTATTTTCACTTATCCAACGATCATAAATCTGTGTAAAACTAAAAGAGTTTAGCTTTACATTGTGTAGTGTATATATATATATATATATATATATATATATATATATATATCTCGATTTATTTTGTTTACGTATCAGAATGTTATGAATTTAAATCTAAATACTCTAACTATTATATACAATTGATTTAAAATAAATGCGAATATTAATTATTCAAATCAATTTCACTTTTATAAATATCAGATTTGGATTGAGATAATTCTTTTTAATTTAAATGTTATGACTTTATATATTCTAATTACTATTGGAGGCAAATACAAAGTGTTTACGAATATTAGTTCTCTAATACTTAGTACATAACATAATATTAATTTAATACAAATACATATATTTAATTATATTATAAGCGTACGAATCAAATTACCTCAATAGTTAAAAGATTGATTGTTATTTCTAGAGGTTACGGGTTCAAGTACTAGTTACTGCAAAAGAGTGATCGAGTGTTTAACATTAAATGATTTAGAGTATTTAGAACATATACTACTTTGTAATCACCTTAATTTAATACAAAAATTATATTATATGCATATAATATTTTATTTCTAAAATAAAATAAAAATAACACGAATTTTTTTCATTACATGTTCACTATATATATTTGAAACTATGTGCACAATATATATATATATATATGTTAAAGTAGAAAGACATTTTATTGTGTTAAGCAAACAATAAAGCCTTAAACACAAAAATTGACCATTAAATTTGATAAATTATGTCAAATTAACTATTAAAGTTAGATATTTTTTAAATTCTCTCCTGAATTTTATATTATTTTTTATTAAAATAGTCCCTCAACTTGATAATTTTATAACATCTAATATTATTTATTAAAAAACTGTAAAAAATTCTGTTAACCTAATAATATTAATTTCTTTTATTAAATAAAAATTAATTTAATTAAAGTTAAATAAAAATTTAAGACTAAATTGATAAAATTTGTCAAATTCATGAGTTATTTCAATAAAAATACTAATTTTAGGGGTTAATTTAAAATATTTCAAATTTAGGTATGAAGCCGGCAATAATGTATATATATATATATATATATATATTAAGCTAAGGTGATTATAAAATAGTATATGTTCGAAATATTTTCAAACATTTGACAATAAACGCTCAATCACCCTGCTACAGCCGTTGGTGCTCGAACCCGTTACATCTAGGAACAACAACGTTTCTTTTAACCACTAAGGTAAGTGGTTAGTGCCCAACAATAAAATATGGTTCAAGATAAACAAACTACTTATGAGATCCATAGATAGTATATATACCTAGTACTATAAATAAGACGAGATAGAATGTGAGATACTCGAGATCAATTGAGTCAATGTTCAATAAATACTTGATTCGAGTTTGAGCTCGACTCGAGTTCTTATTGAGCTGAAACAAACTACTTAATAATCGACTCAAAAAACTTGCGAACAACTCGAAACAAAATTATTTGTTAAAATTTTAGTTTTTATAAAAATAAATTAAAAAAATATTAACATTTATGTGTTAATTTCTTTTTAATGTAGTAGAAGGTTTTCAAGCACTTAAGGTTTAGGTTCGAGTTTGAGCTTCAATCGAATTAAGTTCAAGATTTTTTTTTCAAGCTTTGGTGAACTTTATCGGGCTTGAATTCGTAATTTTGGATTTGAGTTGAATTTGAAAATTTTAAACTTGTGAGTTTTCGAGTTAAATCGAACTCCATTTTAAAGTTTTGATTAGAGTGAAATCCAGAGTCACTCATTTGCAACCTTATAATATGCAAGTTATTACCTGAAGTGACAACAGTTCAATGGGGTGGTGGCGCAATTGGCTAGCGCGTAGGTCTCATATCTTATAATTGTGGTTCGAGTCTCTCTCTCACCCCATTTCTTTTCATTCTCCTAACTTGGATGCTTAAACTTTTTTTATTATTAAAAATGGTACTTAAATTTTGTTCATTGTCATGTTGGTACTTATGTTAACCAGTCCATTCGTTTATTATTCTCTTAACCTGTCTGCTTAAACTTTTTATTATTAAAATTGTACTTAAATTTTGTTTTTCTCATGTTGGTACTTATCTTAATCGATCATTACCTAATAACGACGTGTATCAATAATTAAATGACATGTGATACAGTTTAAGTCATTTTTGTCATGTGACAAATTCCAATTGGTTGGAACTGTTTTGTTTAATTTTGAGAAGAAAAATAAATTTTAGATACTACTTGGGATAA